ATAGAATCCTATTGAATAAATAGTAGAAAACAAACACTTAGAGAAGTTTCACACTCTTCTTTATTAACTCTATGTATATGTCGCCTTGCTAAAATAATCAGAACTATAAATATATTATTGTCTTAACAGAATCCTTTTGTTGACACTCATTGTAATATCAACCACCGAACTTTTGTAACAACTTTGGAGTCATGAATCCTCTACGAGCTTGATCTCATTCTTTCAAATAAGTTTGTTTCTGCTCCTAAAATACCTCTAACTAAATGACATTTTTTGACATAGATCATGAACCATATCGCTATTAGTGATATTAATAACTCTAGTTCGGTTAGATGCCGCGAAAGAGTGATGAGTGCGGTGACCTGAAGGGGAAGTGGGTTATCTACAAGTAAAGTAGCATATGCAATTCAGGCTACATCTTAGCGATTCGTCCGGGTACCTTGCTTTAAGTTTTTCTATAACTTTGAATCTTACATGAAAATTCCATAGAGAATTTTACACTTTATGTTGCTTTAACTCGCTATTTCTCCCTTGTTCTCATGATTCCTAAGGGAGGTTGAAATGGCGGGTTTTCTGTTCATTCCAGTACTGTACCACAGTACAAATCGCTTAGACCTTGGACAACTAAAATCTATCGGCTGGTTAGAATATATTGTATTTAATAAGTTAATATATACCAAATTTTCGTGGGTGTAAAATCGTTGGGAGTATTTGACATATGAATGGATGTTAATATCAATATATTAATAATGGAAATGTCACTATGCTTCGGAATATTTAGTCATTTTAAATTTTGAAGATTAGAAGATTTCTATTTAATCCCTAGATATCTAGACACATGTAAACCTATGTTGGTGTAAAAAATTTCTACCTGCTACACCTCCAGCGGTAGTTAAGTTGGTCGTGGTAATAGTTACTTTTCTTGTAAATACATTTTGTAAATACTAACATTATTATTACATTTACCCGGTACTTCATCCATCGTGTTTTCTCGAAAGAAAAAAGGCACCCGGGGTGTTAAATTTAACACTGACCTTTAGCGTCTGATAGGTACTACTAAACATCCACCTTTTCAAGTTATAAATATTGTAAACAAACGTTATTTATCTTAACCTAACCTTTTCTTGTGACGGTGTGGGAACACCCCGTACAGTTCACAGGCATACAATATGTGTGCAAGCGATTCAGCATTTCTATCGTCGTTGTAGATCGATCAAACTGGGTCAACGATCGAATTCGGACCAAACTGCTGGACAAACACTTTACATTTAAGCCATGTAAATAGTTTTGTACAGATACCGTGTAAATAATTAAATAAATCAGTATTGCAAACAGACCCGTCTTCGTCTGACTATTGGATTTGCAAATAGCCATAGTCAGTTCATCATCCAGCTCCAGACTTGTAAATAGACTGAAGTCTGCATCTTTATTTATTAGCGTTGTATTTCAGAAGTATTAAGTTCCATTTATTACGAAGCACTTGCAACTCAATAAGAGCCCGATATAGAACTTCAAGCATATCTCAATTCTAACAAGTCCCTAGTATTAAAACGTATCCATATACCGGGTACAATAAAAGTTATCTTCTGTGGCATCTCAACAGGAACATCTAGACCATTCCTGACCCGATTATTCCCTAACACACCCTGATATTAGTGCATCAATCAAGTTAATCACACAACCAAGAAAGACAGTTCTTCAACGAACTGTCACATCTAACGAACACCGAACACATTTATACCACGGCATACAACCTTGCAGCAAATGGAATGATTGAACGATTTCATCGCCAGCTGAAGGAAGGAAGACCTGAAAGCAACAGCCGCTGACATGGTATACGGAAAATCACTACGTCTACCTGAAGAATTCCTATCTCCATCAAGCCCACAAACCAATAACAGCCCATCAACCTTCATACAACAGCTTCGCCAACACTTCTAACTACTACAGCCTGTATCCGGAACACGACATGAGGAAAAGAAAACATTCATCTACAAAGACCTCCAAACAGGAGAGTACGTCCTAATTCGACATGGTGATCCTAAAAACCAGCTTCAATTCTCTTAAGACGGCTCTTTCAAAGTTATCAACGGGAAGGATCACACGTTCAATTGCCCAAAAAGGAGAAAACTGTATCTATTCGCCGACTTAAACCAACATACATCATGTCAGAGGGACAACATCCACAATACTCTCCTTCGCCACAATGAAGCAGCATAATCAACAAGAAAGAACTCGCTCAGGATGTCGAGTACACTTTCCCAAATACTTCACAGTAGGATAACCAAACACTTTACATCTAAACCATGTAAACAGTTTTGTATAAATAACGTGTAAATAATTAAATAAATCAGTCTTACAAACAGACTCGACTTCGTTTGACTATTGGACTTGCAAATAGCCATAGTCACTTCATTATCCTACTCCAGACTTGCAAATAGACTGGAGTTTGCATCTTTATGTATTAGCGTTACGCACGCTACAATGGTATGGCAAGCCAGCATTACAAGCGACAACTTGGCTTACCGCGTGCCCACAAGTGTAAACAAAATCATACAAGTGTAAGTCTAATTTTATTATTATTTTAGGACAATTTTGTGAGAAGCTTGGATTTTTTCAAATAGATGTAATTAAAAAAAAATCCACATGTTCCCGACATTACGTATTTTCGCTAGTGCGACATAAAAAGGTAAAATACCGGAAAAAATATTATAATTTTTATGTACTATGTTCGGCAATATTTTGCCTTATCGGTATACACCATGGTACACTTGTCAAGAGAGATCTTGTTTACAATTAATACGGGACGTTACCAAAGGTTTGGTATTAAATTAGAAATAAAAAGTTATCATAGTTAGAAATAAAGGCTTTTGGCAAGGTCAACACTTGATTGTCAAGTTTCAATTTTGTGGGGCTTTACCAAGGTTTACCTTTTTAATATTAGTCGTATATTTAAATAAACTGTATTATACGTACAGGTATGACTTAAAATCTTAAAGACTATATAAAATCAATTTTAGTATTAATGTTCTAAAACTAAGTACGGATGATGATTTGATGAGTCAGTCAATAAGGCGTTTCCTCACTTGCGTTGGATCTTTCATCAAGATCCAAGACATCGACATTGAACCAGGAGACACCTTGTAAACCTTGACGCCGTCTTGCTGTTCACCAAATTTCCGCTGACAGGGTGGCTTGACCTGGTGACTAAGATCTTCCCTGCCGACGTCAGTACGCTATTTGAGGTTTTCCTCACTGAAAGCTGTTTGAGAAGAATGCTATCGAGACCTCTGAGTACAAAATGACTGCTTAGTTCCTTCGTAATTTGCGGACACGGAATGGAAAAGTTGAATCACTTCCTCCAACACTTGAACAGAGGGCCACACGAGTTAGAAGGATCTGCGAACCGGAAAACTTTCAGGCGACACTGGAGCACATAAAGACCGCTTTCGAGTTGAATGGTTACAAAAAGAGGGAGTTCGAGAGATCAATGAACAGATTAAGAGCACCAGAGAACAACGGACGGCGAACTACCTCTCTACCATATCTACCATATGATCAAAAGCTCACGGACTACATTGATATCATCTTCAAATCTACGAAGAAGATCAATTAGACCATCAGATTAGTTAAGGACAAAAGGGAGAAATCGCCGGCCCACATCCAGCATCGAGGATGGGAGGACCTCTGAAGAAGTTAGCAACTCTTTCAAGGGAAACGTTAGAAAACAACTCTAATCGACGACGACTTTCAGGACAGCGTCAATAGGAAATATACATGTAATTTGAGACATTCTTTACTTTTATCTCTAATATTATCTCCTATTTTGACTTTTGTAAAATTATATACTTGTGGTTTTACATTATTTGCTATTTTTATATAACTTATCGAAATCGCGGACCCGTCTGGCAGTTTCGACAGAATACTGACCACTTCGATTTTCTTTATTCGATTATGGTAACGTGCTTTTCACGTAGTGGTGAGCTACGCCTGGATTCATAGTGATCCGTAAAATGTAGCATTGTACTACAGATGGCGTTTACCGCGCCATTTATAGGATTTCATTAAGACAGCAGGTAAAAGTTGGTTTGTGTTCTGTTGAAGCTGTCTGCGACGCGCTGTGAGATCCAACAAGATCGAAATCGCGATCCTCGTCTGGCAGTTTCGGCAGAATACTGACCTCTTCGAATTTCTTTATTATATTAAAGCGTTATTTTTATGGAACTTGAGGCTTTTGAGATATATATAGAATGCATAATTTATAGCGGTGTGATCAACAGTTTGCCTATGTAAAGAAAGTTGACTATGGCGCTGATTTGTTTATACCTCTTTCTACGATATTACTAAATCGAGAAATATGTGTACTTTCAAGAGAAATTCGAAGCATAATTCAAATGTATAATGCCAACTTTGACCACGGTATCAAACCTATTGTGTTACACAGCTCAATGTTGTAAATAAAGCGGATATTGTATTAGCATTCCAAATATTGACTTAGGTTTAGGGGTTAGAATTATCGATTCTTGAATTTTCTACTAAAATAGAAACTTTTGAATTAACCTTTACTCTTCTTACCATCGACGTTTCATTTACTCAGGGGGCAACATATTCAGGTTTTATTATTGTTTGTGATAAATTCGGTAATTAGGTACCTCAATATCTCGGCTTTTTTACGAAGTCGATCTGCATAACGGAATAGGTTTGAGACTAATCAAAGGTGGAATCGTATATACCGTTTGATCATGGTTTCATTAAGCTGACACTATCAAGTTAAAATTATCTTAGACCATGGGTAAATTTAAACAAAAAAAAAAATAAATAAATTTTTGAGTCTCCCTTTCTTGATTTAGTTCATTGAAATGATTGAGCATTTTTTGAAATTAATTAATTGAAATATGTTCTATGACGTCTGGTTTCGATTTGGTAACATTGTTTAAAAATGTAGTCCCCTTAATTTTTTGTATATCTTGACACTCTTCACAACTGTTGTAGAAACTTACCTATCTAGACTTATGCAGACTAGAATAAAACTTGATAAGTACACGCCGAATATTCTAAAGAAAGCCATAATTCGGCACATAGCGTCTCCAGCCATCCAGGACACTGTTATGGCCCATGCAATTTCTAAGGGCATCATGAGAAATGTCACCTGAAAAACAATAATAAAGAAACATTAATAAATAATTTTAGGTTAGTTTTTGTATTGAATAATTACATTTTTGAAAACGACGAAAAAACAAACGTAACTTTTATGTTACAAAACGGCTTATAAGTACAATGGCGATTTCGTCACACAGAATCTTCCATTCTATAGCTTTTGTAGTATTAGGGTGACTCAAAATCTTCTCTTTTTTTTTTTCGAAAGTTTAATAATTGCTAATATATATGAGAAGGTCTCTAGTAAAGGAAGAGATGGTATTGATTTTTACTTTTGACTCATTCGACTGTTTAGTTTTCTATAAGAAAAGCACGGTAAATACGCACACTCCAACTCTTCTATATAACATTTATGCTCTTTTAAACAAATAAAGCTCCGTTTGTAAGTGGTTTGTTTACGAAAATGTCTAGTGAAGTATTCTTTCCTATGCTTTTCTTATGGACAACTAAGAAGTTCAACATCGCCAATAATATCAATATTATAAGCTCTCCTTTGAATAGAGTTCTTTTTATATAATACATCAGCAACTATTAAACCTTTTTTAAAAAAAAAATAAAATTAAATCACCCTAATATATACAGGGTAACCATTTAGGATAAGACAATAAAATGTCTTCGTTGGATCTTATTATTTTGGAGAAAGTATTACACAAAAGTTGTATGCTTTCGAAAGGGAAATTGCCTGGTGACACTGATTATTACTGTGGTGCTGACCTTTGAGGTCATTTGCAAGTAAAATCTCATTCATTAAACTTTTCACCGCAGCGGAATATTTTATAATCGGAAAAATCCTTGAAGTAGTTTTCTCTTAATGTTTTAGTTCGTATTTACAAGAAGGTGTAACCAAATATCCGAAAATGCTTGATTGAATGTCATTCTTTCGGTTAAAAATTTAGATAAAAGTTGTACCTTTCTAAAGGACAGACTTGACTACGACCGTGAAAAAATCAATTTTAAGGATACCGACTTCCGATTGCTGAATTTCAATTGTTGAACCAAGAAGCATGCATTCCAGTTTGAAAGCCTACATGACCTTCAAATGAACTTCTTCATTATGATTATGTAGTCACAAATTACATTTTTACTGAATTTACTTAACGTAACAATTTAATGATTATCAAAACTAAAAAACGCAAAAAAATAATTAACAACGACATAGCATTCATTACTAATTTATTCTGGAGGAACTACTACGGGCGTCTGTAACAAGATGAACAATTTTCGTTTCATAGTCAAAAAACTAACAGAGGTGCTTTTTCTGTCTTTTGAAATTTGAAAGTTGTTTCTTATTTGTAAAGATGACTATGGCCCAATTGGTATAATCGTTTTAATTTTTTTATATTGCTACAGAAAGGAAAACAAAACGGAGTGAAATAGATATTGTCTTTTCATTTCAAAGTATCTTTTACTTCAATGAGAAAATGAAAGGAAACATATTATGTAGATGTACAAGTACAACTGAACTTGTTGTGAATGATAAAGTTGAAAAATACATACCTCTTGGTCATAGGTAGTTTATTTTGCTACCTTTTTTGTTTGTAAAATAACCATTTAACATTGTTGACTATACGTAAAATCATATACTTCTTTGAGGATAACTACCTTTTAACTAAACCAGAAGTATCACATTACCACCGTCTTTCTTTCCAAAAGGATGTTGTTATCTGTAGTCAACCCACCATACGCAAAAAGGACTCAAGAAGTCTATTGTGGGTTGCCCAGATTACGCTAGTAAAAATGAAAACTAGAGTTTCTGGATCCTACATTCTGAATTATTTCTAAAACAAGTGTAGCTTCTATTAACGAGACTGGAAAGACTTCGAGTTCTAGTTAGGAGGAGAAAGAAAGAAGAAGAACGAAGAAGGCATAAAATTTGCGATGCAGTACTGAACAAGTGTTTCGTTACTAATAGTGGTGTTAATTAGTTAAATAAATTACTAGTAGTGCGAAAGGTGTTTTTACAGGACAATATTATTAAAAAATTAAATTGAAAAGGTATGAGTGTAATAATTTACAAATGAGAATAGAGATGAGATGAAACAGAAAACAGAAGAAAGAGAAATCAAAATGGAATAGAAAATAGAAAACATGAGGGAAGAAACGGGACAAGAAATTGAAAAGCTAAACTGCCTATCACCGCGGGGACTCACGATTCCGGTGCAAGGTCAGCAAAAATTACACGTCCAACTTTTGAAGGAGAGATCTCGTGGTTTGTTTACCTCAAACAGTTGGAACAGCGGCAGATGGAAACGCATGGACTAATTAAAAAAAGTCAACAGCAATAATAATTATGGCGGCCTATTGTGGGATGGCTAGATTGCGCTAGCAACAAAGAAGATCTGAGTCTCTAGATACTACATTCTGGAATCTTTCCGGAGAAGGTCCGACCCCTATAAATATTTGCTGCGAATTCGGAAGACTCAGCTGAAGAGGACCTTACCCAATCGTCCTAAAACAGCCTGAGGTAGAGGCGTTTTAATTGGTAGGTCCTACTCGGAGGGAATCCAACACTACCCAGTCGTACGGATGACTGGGTGTATTTCAATGATTTCCCTTCTTCCGCGAAAGTAAAACAACTAGTTTTAATTCTACTTACGAGACGAAAAAAAAAGCGAAATAAGAAGAGCAAAAAAGTGATAAAGTGTGCGATATAGTACTGAACGAGTGATTAATTAGCAGTAGTGACGTTAATTAAAGAGCCCGGCAATTTGTTGCGGAAAAAACAAAAAAAAAGGCAAACCAGCTAAATTTTGCAATTTATAAATTATACTATCTAATAATGCAGAATCCAAACATCTTTTGAGTAATATTATTATTATTGCATAATATAATAATAATAAAAATAGCGATAAAATGGTACTTTTGTTTTTTCCACTGGGAAGTTAGTAGTTTGGACTTCTCGAGTCGCATCCAGAACTCCTTTCTCTATTCGAATGATCCCATTAGTTTCTATTAATTCTTGCGATGTTCTTAATTTGCCTAATATCTTCTTAGTTCCATTTTCACGAACGTTTCTATATATCTTACTATCAACTGGCAGTTGATATTTTCCGAAGAAGCTAACATTAAAAAGCTTGATAATAAATAGTTTAAAGGGATTGATCACATTGATGCTCCAGCTAGGAAAGATCGCCCTTAAATGAAGTAAGCTGACTATTCCTATAAGATTTTTTTTTAAGACTAAAATTTTTTTTTAAAATTTCGTAAGAGATGGATAAAACATGAGTAATGCTGACAGTACTGAGATTTTTTATGGTCCGCATCATGAATATAAGCAAAAGCCTGAAAAGGCTTTCCTCATAATTGAATCTGACGGTTGCATTGTGCCCTAAATTAGCTCTCAGCAAAAGTAATTTGGAACCTTTTAAGGACTTCCTTCCTAACATCTTTTTGAGTAGATATTTCAATTTTGTTTTAAAAATTTTGTTAGCTCTGACTACCTTATAGGTACTAACATGCTTTCAAAATGGATCAATATCTTATTCAGCCCTATTAGGAATTATTTTACTAAATCCTTTTTCTTAAGCGATCGTTATTTTTAGTTTTTATAGGTAGTTGAATAATTTACAAATTATCCNTCACCCTAATATATACAGGGTAACCATTTAGGATAAGACAATAAAATGTCTTCGTTGGATCTTATTATTTTGGAGAAAGTATTACACAAAAGTTGTATGCTTTCGAAAGGGAAATTGCCTGGTGACACTGATTATTACTGTGGTGCTGACCTTTGAGGTCATTTGCAAGTAAAATCTCATTCATTAAACTTTTCACCGCAGCGGAATATTTTATAATCGGAAAAATCCTTGAAGTAGTTTTCTCTTAATGTTTTAGTTCGTATTTACAAGAAGGTGTAACCAAATATCCGAAAATGCTTGATTGAATGTCATTCTTTCGGTTAAAAATTTAGATAAAAGTTGTACCTTTCTAAAGGACAGACTTGACTACGACCGTGAAAAAATCAATTTTAAGGATACCGACTTCCGATTGCTGAATTTCAATTGTTGAACCAAGAAGCATGCATTCCAGTTTGAAAGCCTACATGACCTTCAAATGAACTTCTTCATTATGATTATGTAGTCACAAATTACATTTTTACTGAATTTACTTAACGTAACAATTTAATGATTATCAAAACTAAAAAACGCAAAAAAATAATTAACAACGACATAGCATTCATTACTAATTTATTCTGGAGGAACTACTACGGGCGTCTGTAACAAGATGAACAATTTTCGTTTCATAGTCAAAAAACTAACAGAGGTGCTTTTTCTGTCTTTTGAAATTTGAAAGTTGTTTCTTATTTGTAAAGATGACTATGGCCCAATTGGTATAATCGTTTTAATTTTTTTATATTGCTACAGAAAGGAAAACAAAACGGAGTGAAATAGATATTGTCTTTTCATTTCAAAGTATCTTTTACTTCAATGAGAAAATGAAAGGAAACATATTATGTAGATGTACAAGTACAACTGAACTTGTTGTGAATGATAAAGTTGAAAAATACATACCTCTTGGTCATAGGTAGTTTATTTTGCTACCTTTTTTGTTTGTAAAATAACCATTTAACATTGTTGACTATACGTAAAATCATATACTTCTTTGAGGATAACTACCTTTTAACTAAACCAGAAGTATCACATTACCACCGTCTTTCTTTCCAAAAGGATGTTGTTATCTGTAGTCAACCCACCATACGCAAAAAGGACTCAAGAAGTCTATTGTGGGTTGCCCAGATTACGCTAGTAAAAATGAAAACTAGAGTTTCTGGATCCTACATTCTGAATTATTTCTAAAACAAGTGTAGCTTCTATTAACGAGACTGGAAAGACTTCGAGTTCTAGTTAGGAGGAGAAAGAAAGAAGAAGAACGAAGAAGGCATAAAATTTGCGATGCAGTACTGAACAAGTGTTTCGTTACTAATAGTGGTGTTAATTAGTTAAATAAATTACTAGTAGTGCGAAAGGTGTTTTTACAGGACAATATTATTAA